CCTGCTTGAGTTCACAGCAAGATCCAAGTTAGCAAGGTACATGGAGAGACTGTCTCAAAACAAAACAATTTCATGTTGTGCCTTAAAACAAACAACCACACTTCAAACCAAGGGACATGGTAGCACAGCTCTTTGGAGAGAGGTTTATCTCTGAGTTCAAGGCCAGCTTGGTCTACAGAGGGAGTTCCAGGACAGCCAGTGCTACATGGAGAAACTGTCTTGAAAAACCAAAATTATAAGGAAGTAAATACATAAAAAGAAAATCATTCTGATTTTGTTAGAATTGCCCAGCTTATTCATACCAGGGCAATGAGAATAGTAATTGGTCCCAGAGATCCATAAGGAATTTTAAACTTTTAAAAAGCCTCTGAAGGCTCAGAAGGATCCCAGAATCTGCTGTCAGACCTCAATGTGATGCCCATAAATTTGGGTGTACCTTGTTCTTACTGAGGTCATCAAAGTATCCGGAGGTTCCTGGGCCTGCCTTGAACTCACAGAGATTTGACTGCCTCTGCTTCTTACGTACTAGATTTAAAAAGTATCCCCAGCTACAGTTCCTTTTTATTTTTATTTATATGCTTGTGTATGTAGCCAGAGAGAAGAGGGTTTTGATTCCTGGAGCTGGAGTTACAGGTGGTCATGAGTCACCTGATGTGAGAAAACAAACTCAGGTCCTCTAAAAGAGCAGCATTTGCTCTTAATCCCTTATCCATTTCCCCCACACTCCCAGAACCTAGATTTTTTTTTGTTTTGTTTTTTGAGAGCCCTGGCTGTCCTGGAGGAACTTGCTCTGTAGACCAGGCTGGGCCTTGAACTCAGAGATCTGCCTGCCACAGCCTCCCAAGTGCTGGGATTAAAGGCGTGCACCACCACTGGCTGGTTTAGAATTCTTCTTTAAACAAGAATAATCCTAGGCTGTGGTGTAGCTTGGTGGTACAGAGGGTTACCATACAACAAAGCCCTGGGCACAATCCCAGTACTGTGCAATAAGTCAAAATGTTGCTTTATCTTGGATCAGAAAGGGAGGTGATTTTGTGTTTCAACAAAGAAGCATAACACACCTGTGCAGTTTATCAGATTCTTCCCTTTCTTCTTTCCTTCCTCTCCTATTAAGACAGGGTCTCGGTGCCCCAAGTTGGGCTTGGCCGTGCTACGTAGCCAAGACTGGCCGTGAATTCCTGAGCCTTCCACTTCTACCTCTCAAAGCTGTAAATTCAAGCACATTCCACATGACTAGATTTCAGATTCTGATCTTGCTCATTGTCTTTGAGGATTTATGATTTGCCTGTGAAGTGGGTTTCATTCTGTTTTTTTACATGCTTTGTTGATGGGGGGGGGCAGTTCATGCAGCCCAGACTAGCTTCAGACCGGCTATGGAGCTGAGGGTGGTACTGAATTTCCATCCCCCTGCTTTACTTTTTGGGGGGCTGGATTTACAGACATATCCCACCATGCTAGGGGCTGAGCCCAGGGCCTCATGCATGCCAGGCAAGTGCTCTACCATCTGGGCCATACTCCCTACCCTTCATTCTTCTCAAGTCAGGAAAACTTAAGGGGAAAAGGAAAAAGGAGCTCCTTATCCTGGGATCTAGTCTGTGTTTTCCTCTTGGCTGTAAGTCAAAAAACTTCAATATAACTTTTAAAGTCAAAACTGCCTACAGAAATAATAGTGTTTTCCTAAAGACATTGTGAATGGTATTAAAACAACCAGGGCAAGAAGACCACTCAGTTTCCAATCCCTAGAACCACTTATCGTCAAACATGGCAATACATTCTGTAATCACTGTTAATACCTGTCTTGTCCCTTTAAAAGACAAGCCCTGTCCAGCCACCCCTACCCTTGTCCTCCTAGGCAGGCAGATCTTCCTTCCTTCCTGCTCTTCTTTTTCCTTTCTGTGTCTTCTCTCTCTCTCTCTCTGCCTCTCTTTCTGCTCTTCTCTCCTTCTCCCAGTTCCCTTCCATAACCCACTAAATAAATATCCAACCTCACTCAGCACAGTGTGCCTATATGTCTGTCTCTTACCCACTGTGGCTGCGGCTCCTAATGGGATTAGCTGCCCTGTCTAGGTCTCTCGCCTGCAGCCACGCGGCTCCCTGCCTGGGAGTGACTGCCTTCAGGCCTGCCATGGTCTCGGGACCCGCTGCCCGCTGCAGCCACTCGGGGGACCTGCAGTGTGTTACTTAAACCATAACAATCACGGTGCTGTGAGATGAGAGAGAGAGACCCTCAGAAGCTGGTGGGCCAGTTAGGATGGCATAAGTAACAGCAAATGAGAAAAGACATTGCCCCAAACAAAGCAGGTGGGAAAAGACATCGCGGTTGTCCTCTACCCCTACATGTTCACCACACATAGCATGTGCTTGTCCATACACACACACACACACACACACACACACACACACAAAGCCAGGTGTGGTGGCTCACAAATGTCATCCAACAGAGGAGAAGCCAATGCAGGAGTCCTGTTGCAAGTTTTAGGCCAGCTTAAAAAAGAGAAGCCAGCAATAAAAACAAACTTACTTCGAGCCAGAATGTTTGCAACTTCGAGTTTCACTGTGTGAGCACCCTCTCAATTAATTAAAAATATATTCAAGTAATGTGACAGACTCTGTTGACTTCCCATGGGAGGCCTGGCCCTCTCAGAGGAGTGAATAGAGAGTGGGGTGGGGAAGGTGGGTGGAGTGGGAGGAGGGGAAGGAGAGGGAACTAGGATTGGTATGTAAAATAAGATTGATTTAAAAATAAAATAAAAACAAGGAAAAAGGAATAAGAGTGTACCTTACAAGACCACTTACAGCTTCATGTGCAAAAAGAAAATGGCACCCTTTTTTCAATGACAAGGTTCCATTCTGTAAGCCAAGCTAGCCTAGAAATCACTAAGTAGCACAAGAAGGAATCAAATTCATGATGGCCCTCCTATTTCTGCCTCCTGAGTGCTGGGATCACAGGTGTGTAGCACCACACTCTGCCTAATCCTTAAAACTGGGAATAAATACATCCACATATGACATCGGGCTTTAATATCTGGCTACAACTCTCCAAACTGTTCTCAACTTTTTTCCTTCCCGATTTCTTGTCATTTGGTGCAAAAGTCTGACAGTGTGGGTCCTTGGTGGGATCCAGGCTTGATGCAGCTACCCTGTCCCACCAGGACCTACAAGCTTGAAGCCTGACGACACCCTTCTAGAAACTTTAGAGTCGACAACACACCAAATACTCTGTGGACAAGCCTCTGCCTGGAGCCACCAGTACATGGGCCATGTGGAAAGTCCTCTACTGGGTTCACACACTGCTCCGGGAAATGGTCATGCCTGAAGCCTGTGGTCAATAAAACTTCACCTCATACACTCAGAGGGTGCCTGGAAAACCCTCCTGACTGCTCCTCAACTATCCTTTCAACGATACCTGGCACCTGGCATCTAGAAACGTGTTCAACACATGTCCACTGAACTCAAAAGCTAATTTGTAGCAAAAACCTCACAAAACCCTTGCTCCTGCCAGTTAGCAAATGTCTTTGTCCTAGTACAATTAGTCCTTACGAGGCAAAAGGTCCTGGAAAGGAAAATGGACTTTTTGTTTGTTTTTTGAGATACGGTTTCTCTGTGAAACAGTCCTACAGTCCTGATTGTCCGGGAACTTACTCTGTAGACCAGGCTGGCCTTGAAGCCTCTGCCTCCAGAGTGCTGGGATTAAAGGCATGCACCTCCTGACTAGAAAACGGACTTCTGTTCAGTAGGAAGGATGTCTCTCTTCCCTGGGAAAGTGTCCTCCCCTTGAACAAGGCATAGTCATATTTGGCCAAAGACTTAAACGTTAACCATGTCTGAGAGCTCAAGACTGCAGCCCCGGAGCAACTTTAGACCCCAGAGTATCTGCGTGATTAAACTCAAGATGGTTGACCTAATTTCCCACAGCTAAAGCCAGAGCCCCTAGCCTCAGTTTCTGTGGGAGAATGGGAATTAAGTCCCACAAACCCAGCAGCAAAACCATGAGGGGCTTGCGTAGAGCACACTTTCCTTCCCTTCCCATTTTTGTAATCGCTCCCTTTGTTGAATTCTGCACCCCCTTGTTCCCTTTGGGGAACCACATCCACTTGGGGTCACCTCTGCCCAAATGGGGATGACTCAGCTGGTAGTTCCCGTTAGCAGTTCCTAGGTAAAAATCTGCACCTCCATGAATGTCTCTGTGACAAGGCCCTACCCCACCACAAGTTCCTAAAAGAGGCTACAATTAACTCGTGACAGCTCCCACTGTACTCCTAAGGCTTGGAGGGCCATCAAGGACCCCAAACTCCCCAGCTGGAAGATTTCCTCTTTGTCTCACATTGCCCCAAAGCCTGCCCTAGTGCTCCTCGGCTTTAAGAGGAGCCTATTCTCTTGCAAAGAGAGACCCAGAGGCATCCCAAGGCCTCTCAAAGAACACCTGTGGAGTTCGCTCAACAGCTTCCAACTACACTGACCACCCCACCCCCCCCC